TGATTTCGCTGAATTTACATTAAATAATATGTGTTAATGACTCAAAAAAAAAAAATCAACTATATACGCTAAATATACCAATACACACAAAAACATGCTCTATTAAATTTTAGTTTTTTATTACCATTGTTATGAAACGGATTTTTATCTCAATTAGTATATTTTTCGATATAGCAAAGAAAACATGCAAATGCATGAACTTACGAGCCCTGATTATGAGTATTTAATAAGTATTTAAAAAATATAAGTTAAAAAATAGTATTTTAACTCTTGAATGAATTATTTTATCAAAAAAATAATACACTGTACAGATAATAAAGTGTGCAACAGATGGCAGCTCTAAAGGGAAAACAAATTTTTTCGATGTTCTTTAACATCGATGGTTTTCATATATACATTGAACACATCATTATTTGAAAAGTGGATTTATCGATACATCGAATATCGATGTTCAAACAATTTTGCCCATCCCTTTGCTCTACTGCTTTTATTTCTTCAATAATTTATGTAATGCGAAATTAGTCAAAATACTTAGAACTCGTCCTTATCGTTTTAATCGTATCTGTTCTTATTTTATATCAATATACTTCGTATACTTACATCAAATATTTTTTTAAATTTATTATTTAGTTTTTTATTTATAACCTTTAATATTTTTAATTTCATATTCTTTATCGGAATATTTTTATGAAAACGTTAAATGCTCATAAAATGAGAATCAAATAAATGGTTAATAGGTTATTAGTATTTTAAGTAGAAATCAATCTAAACGTTTTAAGTATTAAAATATACTTCTTTTTTCTACATTTACAGTTACAAATGGTAAAAACATAATTTTTTTCAAAATTAAAAATCAGCGGAAAAATAGTGTTGTTCATAAAACAAAACAAAAATACTACAGTTTTTGCACAGAAAACTTTAATTAAAGAATGCTCAAGAATAACTGTTTTCCCGACAAAGTAGCTACATCTGACTTCTTCATAAAAATTGTTCGGTTGAATACTCAAAGACTATTGTTTTTTTTTTTTAACACTGTAATCAGTGTATCTAAAAATTCAGAAAACCTTAAATTCATGATATTATGACAATCACCCATGACAACGCAAGAAGCACGACAACTATTGAAAATGGCAATAACAGTTTCCATTTAATCGACTGTTAGTTGAATTGTATATAAAAATAATTAATAATTTCTTAAACGCGGATTCAGAATCTTTTTATTTTCTCTGCAATTTACTTATTATAGGTATATTGAAGTACTTATTTTGATGAAAGTGGATTTAATAAAGATAGCTAAAATTACATAAAATCTGAATCAGTAAAACGTGATTTCAGGACGCAATCAGGTTGTCATATAATTTTACAACTTTAAATTTAAATAAATGATTGATTTTTTCATTAATCTAAGATGTAGTGTTATACCCTAAGACATGAAATTTATATAGGGTTTTGTTTGAAATTTTCAAAAAATAAACTTACGATTCTATGGTTTAATTTAAAAATTGAAAGTACATTTATTTTAAAACGCTCCTGATATCACATTTAAATATTTTATATTTTCGATAGTTATATTAATATAATTTGTATATATAGCCAGTGTTTACTTTAAACCTTCTATCATGGGGTATCGTAAAAAATTTCAGTGGGTATACGGTGTGATATAAGTAAATAATTAATAATTAAATAGATGTTTTCGGAAGAGAGGATTCATCTCTTTGAAACAAACACTAGCAAATGTATTCTACATGTATGTGTATTATATACAAACAATTTTGTTAATAGTAAGTACTTAATATCATGGGCGTAACTAGAGTCCAAATATTGGGGGTGCTGAAATTTTTGAAAATAAAATTAAATGATATTTAACTGTAATTACTATGGATTATATAGATCTTAAAAAAAGAACTGGAATACCACATTTGAACTCAGGGGTGCTAAAAGCCCTATTGTGCCCCATAGTTGCACCTATGCTTAATACTAATTATTACTTTAACATTGATTCGTAAGTTTATAAAACAAGATATTTAAAATTTATCTTGTATTAGAATCTATGTCTGAAATGATCAATCCACTGATTACAAAATAAATTTTGTAATACGAGTAGATACTGAAATAAGGTAAAATATAAAAAAAATTGATAGCATATGTACTAGTTCTACTACGTTATTATTCTATAGTTTTCTTTTTATAATATATTATTTTTTCTTGCTGCAATTATTTACTTAAAATTAACATTGTTTTAAGTATACTTATATCCACTTCGATTTTTCAATATTTTTGTCTTAACGTAAAAAAAAAAAAAAATTGTATTATAATTTTAATCTTAAAATGAAAAAATGTCAACACATTTTTAACAAACTATTTAGTCATAATCTTCTTTGATTTATAATGACGTACATTATTAATTATTATTTAGTAATTATTCTTGCTAATACCATACTGTAATCGCTCTTCTATTTTTTAACAACTTGGACTTCTTAAGCTTGAAAAATGCATGGAAGCATCATAACTGTTATATTGTTATAAGTTTTTTTACGTAAAATGTTGAAAATAATTTCGATTTAACAAAAAAACTTTAAGATGTTATACGAGTACAAAAGTCTTCCTTCATAGGTATCTCTTACTGATAAAAATATAACTGATCAACTAACTTCTTTTACTCAAAAAAGTTTTTTTATACTATTATAGTACATTAGTTTTATATTAAAAAAAAAACATTACAGTAATATCTTTCTCTAGTCCACTATTATATCTTCCCAGTCTAAGAATGTCGCCCTTTTTCCTTATTAGTGGGACTAGTTTTACATAAAAGCATCTCAATACCCATAATATTAAAGAACCAATAGCGATTATAAAATAAAATTAATATTAAAATGTGTCTATATGAATATACTTTATAAAATATTTACCCAAGTCTATGTACTATGATTTTTAAACACTAAAATAATATATGTCGTTACCATTGTCCATAATGCTACGTGTTTATATTACGCATTTGTGAAATTTTTTAATTATTTAACATGTGCAGTAACAAACATTACATTTTTCTAGGATTGAGTTAAATCTTTCAAAAGTATATAAATATGATACTATAAATTCGAATTTTCGTATTATACGAATATATATATACTTATTATACGTATTTACTAATTGGTATATGTAGGGGGTTGATCGTAAATATTTATTTTAGTTCTGTAGAGGACAAAATCCAGAACCCCCCATATACCTTCTTAGATGTCTCTTAAACATGTCATAGCGGTATAAAAAGTAGTTTATTATTGTGAATGCATACTGAAAACCGAAAAATAAGATCAGATAATAATAATCATAGATATAGATTTAAAAAAAAATTGCAATTCTAAAAGCTATAGTATACGAAATTACATCAATTTTGACGTCAATATTATAATTTCGTGTTTAAATTTCACCAACTATATTTTATCATGACCTCAAAATTGGTAGCTAAATTATGTATTATTATTATTATGTAGCAAAATTATGTACCTACATAATATAAGTGCATGTTTAATATTTCAGTTGAAAAACTATACACATTCCTTCGAAATCATATTACAAAATAGAAATTATTTCATTTGACACTGGTAATTAAGTTACTAATTATATTATCATGTTTGTATAGTTCTATCATTTACACACTATAAATTTCTGAAAAATTTATCAAAAATATTTAAATACACAATAAACACTTTAAAATAATTAATAAAAATCATATGAAAATATTTGTATCATTCCCACTGATCAGTGGCGTATACAAAAAGGGGAATGTGGAGATCAGATTCCCCACCCTAGGCCTTTTATAAAATGTTATAAAATAATGTTCTTAGGGTGAGCGCGTTAGAAACGTAAAAAAAACAATGAATTGTTTGCAAATGATCGCCCTTCATATAAAAGTTATGTATACGCCACTGCAACTGATTTTGAATGAATCATTTTTCAAGGATAGTTTATCATCACCAGGGTTGGGATTTTATAGAACTTAAAATTGCATAAATATGCGCTATAATATTACCTTAAAAATTGATAAATAAGCTCTCAAAATATACAATAAAACAACAAAAAAAAAAAAAGGAAATTTATTATTTAATAATTTTATACGAGCAAACGAGACGAACGTGGACTGTATAAAGCGAATTCTACTTGTTCATTGATACTCGACTATTAGTAGATTTAGTAGAAATCGATAAATAAACCCAAAAAAATCAGCAGATAACAAAAATTAGAACCAAATAACTTAAACGAAATTATTGTATTATATTATACCTATCTATATATTATCACTGTAATTATACAGAGTTGTATCAGCGTAATCGGTCTATTTACTTAATCTATACATTTATAATTTAATTTATAATTAAAATTAAAATTTTGAATCTTGAAAATTCGATCAACAAAAATCAAAAGTACGTTTACCAAAATGCAAAAAAAGTCTCAAAAATCCAAAAAAAGCACTATAAACTAAAAAAACGCAAAATATACAAAAAAATGCAAAATAACATTTTTTATTTGAGTTCTCTGTATCATAAAACATATTTTTAGCTTATTCTGCTATTTTTAAGCATCTCATAAGAAATATGCAAATGCTATAAAATCCCAACCCTGATCATCACTAAATAACCTTGACATTAAACTTAATATTACCGCATATACAGTGTTTCACTTGGTAAAATTAAAGAAGGGGGACTCTGTATGTTTTAAAAAAAGAGCGTCCCCAAAACTTGTTTAGCGTTATAATTATAACGTAATAATAATAGGGGGGCGCTAAAATTTCTGAATATTAGTTGGGGTACTCCGTCCCTTCAAGTCAAGCACTGCGCATGCATAATATGTTTTTGGTAGGGCTTTCACTATCTTATCTTCTGTAAAAACTAACCGATAAATCATAGTTATTTTACCACGTGGCCTTTTCATGAAAAAATGCTAATATGTTATATATATATTTATTGCTAATATATTTTAACGAAACAAATTTAATTGTTTAGGCAAAATCATGAGTGTTATAATTAGATTACAAAATCTACCATGGTCAGCCAATGCCGCAGACATAAGGCAATATTTCCAAGGGCTGTCAATACCCGAGGGTGGAGTTCATATCGTCGGCGGGGAAAAAGGCGATGCTTTCATATCTTTTAGGTAAATAATAATTAAGAAATTAATTTGGTGATTGAAATTTTTTTTTTTTCATTTTCTTATGGTTACTTCTAATTATTTAACAGTACTGATGAGGATGCTAGACAGGCTATGCTTTCTGACGGTGGTTGTATTAAGGATGTACAAATCAAACTGTTATTGAGCTCACGAAATGAGATGCAAAAAGTAATTGAAACCGCGCGACAGCAGACAATGCAAATCACGCAGGTCTACATGCACCAAATGCAGCAGCCGCAACTTCCCCTAATTGGATCGTTGCCACCACTAACTGCTAAGGTACACAAAACGAGAACTATGTGCAATTATTTTTATATAGGTGCTATTATTTTCGTTTTGAAACTAAAGTCGTTTTGTGTTTTTTAAACGTAAAGGTCTTACCTCAACCTCAGCAACAAACTAGGCCAAACCAATTGGTCACCATGTTGCCAAGACATCATCCTATTATGGACCCGACAGCGGTGCTTATGTCCCAGGATAAGCAACAACAGCTCCAACAACAGTCGCAGCAACATATGTCTCCAAAAGCAACGGAAATTAAAGATCGTGATGACAAAGGTGGTTATAAACGTGAACGAGTTCGATCAAAATCTCGGGAGCATAGGTCGAGGTCGTCCCGCAGTGGCGGGAGCAATAGACGGGATAGGTCGAGATCTAGAGATCGGCGTCGTAGAGATAGGAGTCGTGGAAGAGATCGGTCCAGAGACAGATATCGTAACGGTGGCGGAAACAGAAACTCTTCTAGTCGAGGAAGTGGTGGAAAACCACACACGTCCAGATCACCGGTTGGAAAAACGATGGATGTTAATAAGGGCATCCCTGATCAACAACCTCCGAACAGCAGAACTTGGAACGGTCAATATGAGAATATGCAGCCGCAAGCGATGACCGAAAATCATCAGCCGCCGTTGATGAACGTTGGACCCCCCGGCAACGTTGGTTTTAATCACTTCAGAACACCTCCTCAGCCACCGATCGTTCCCGGTTTGGTCACGAATTCTTATCAACAGCATCCGCAACAAATGGCGAACAGCGAATGGGGTGACGATGAACGTTTGCCGCTTCAGCAGCAGCCGTACATTCCGAACAACGATTTCCAAGGAGAAACCTACGGTGGTGGCAGTGACGACGAAGACGACCGGCAAGCCGAGTTCGACAACAATTACCATCGGAGATTCAACGACAACAACCCGACCATGAGGAGAGGACGACCCGGACAAGATTTTCACGATCAACAGGGATTCGGCACGAACAGAAATCCGAGATTTCACAAACCACAACAGTCCATGGCCGGTGGGGGGCAGCAAAACCGTGGCGGTCACCGGCAATTCGATTCTTTCGGAGGCGGTGGCGGGCCGAGGTTCAACCATCATCAGCAGCATCCTAGGTACGGCGGTGGACTGGACGGTAACGGCCGCGGTGGCGGCAGACCGTCCCGGTTTAGCTCGATCCAAGACGGCAGCGGGGGGAAACCGTCGAGGTTCAACGCGATGCAGCAACAACGTGGTAAAGACGACGATGGCGGTGACGATGGGTCGGACTTTAACGATCCGAAGAGAGGTGCAGCGCCGGCCCGGTTCAACGACCGGTACAGGTACGACGTGCGCAACTCTCAGACGCCGCGGGCTGAAGGTCTGTGCGTCGAAGTGAACAACATGACCAATCATTTCTCGTACGGCGACGTGCGCAAAGTGTTCGAGGGCATACACATCGACGGGTCGGCGATCAAGATCCAAAAGCATCGCCAGGGCGTGGCGTTTGTGCGGTTCGACAACAACCACAACAAGAACCTGGCATTGCGGATGAACGGGAACGCGTACAAAGGCAACAACGTGGTGGTCAAGCATTTGGACGACGAGGCGTACGAGCGGGAGAACACGGACGACCGACCGTACCCCACTACGGTGGCAGCGACTGTGGCGCCGGCAACGACTACAGCAGCGGTAGCGACGGCCTCACCGAACGTTGTGGATCTGGTAGACCTGGTGGATGACGAGGAAGATAACGACGGCGGGAAGCCGTCAGGTGCGAAGCGTAAGAAGAACGACGTGCGCAGCGACGAGGACTGCAACAATCTAGTGGTGTGTGACAAGAACCCGTCAGCGTCCGAAGGTGGTGGCAACGGCGGTGAAGGTGAAGTACAACAGTCACAGCAGCAACAGCCGCAGCAGCAGCAACAGCAACAGCAACAGGAAGTGCCGACCAAGTATCTGAAACTGAAGCAGCTGCCAATCACGGTGACGGAGGAGGACGTGCTGAACGAGATGGAAGGCGGTGGCGAGGTGCGACGTGTAACTTTTTACCCGGACGGCGAGTTCATGGGTGCCGCCCTGGAGTTCCGCAGCGTTGACGAGGCCGAGGCTACGTTAAAAAGGTTCGACTGCGTGCTTCTGGGCTCCACCCCTGTGCCCGTGCTGCGGTGCACTTACAAGGAGTATGTGCAGATCAAACGGAAATCCGGCGGTGGGACCAGACGGTTTTCCGGGGAGAACACCACCGGCGGCGGTGGTCGCCACTTTAACCACCAGCAGCACCACAACCCGATGTCTGCGCAGCCGCCCGTCCAGTCGAATGTCGTCCCAACCTGTAGCCGTTCCAACTGCGTGTACGTGCATGGGCTGCCCACGTCCGTGACCAACACGGATATCACGCAGTTCTTCGCCGACACGTCCGTGCTGCCCGACAAGATACACATCATGTTGAGCAAGTTTGGCCGGCCCACCGGCGAGTCGTACTGCGAGTTCAGCAGCGTGCAGCAGGCGCACACGGCCTTGATCAAGGACCAGTGTTACATGGGCCCCAACCTGGTGCACGTGTCGCCCATCAACCGATCGGACATGATCCAAGCCATTACCAAGCCGATGCAACAGCACAACAACCACCACCAGGACATGTCCTGGGGACCGGGTGGCGGTGGAGGCAATCGCGGCGGTGGACCCAGGCAGCACAACATGATGTCCGGACCCAGACAGCAACACCAAGGACCTCAGTCCTCGTACGGCGGCAGTGGTGGCCACAATGGTGGGTACGGCGGTGGTCGGCCGCAACCGTACATGAACAACGCGCGCGGCGGGGGTTACACTCCCCGGATACGCGGGCCCGGACCGAACACCGGGCCGGACGGGTTCGGACAGCCCGGCTGCGTCGTGGCCCTAGACAACGTGCCCTACTGCGCTGACGTGCAGGAGATAGTAGACTTCTTCTCGGGCTTCGAGCTCAACAGCCAGAACGTCATCAGGCGGTTCAACGACTTCGGCAAACCCACCGGCGAGGCACGTGTGAACCTCAGGAACCCGCAGGAAGCCATGCGAGCCGTTCGCGTGCTCCAGAACAAGCCCATTTTTAACAGGCCGGTGCGTCTCACTCTCTTGTGAGACCCTTGCAGTTAGATTATTATTTCACGCATCGCCTATTACTTTGTAAATAGATTTTTCATTATTCAAGATTTAACTTGGTTTTTTTATACTTATGTATTATATTGAATAAACGTGTGATGAAAAATATTCTTACTTGTTACTGCTGCTGATACTGTATATGCTTCGCCTGCAGCGAATTTCCCTGTCCATTATATTTGTTAGTCCATATACAATTTTTTTCCCATTCGTTTCGATTGTTTTCCGAATTTTTTTCCGATTGATTTCCATTTTCATATGTAAATCTTATATAAAATTTATAATTTGCTATCAATAAATATAATATATTGTTATATATATTATTCATTTCAACGCGTAACTTCCAAGAGGACAAATGTAATGATTGTATTATGAATTTAATTTAACTACATATAAGTTTAAAAATATGTAAATATATCTTTTTATGAAAATAAATATAATGTCATTTAATAGAAAATGTGTGTCATTGGGTATTTTTTGTTTCATTTCAATGCTATAAACGGTCGTTTTGTACCATAGGTGTGCGCAGAGTTTAAGGTCGGAGGTTGCGAATATTTTTACCAGTCCATTTTTTTCATACAAATGACCTATACATGATTAATATATTGTAGTGACTGGGTTTTTTGTATTAAACAGTAAAGATTAGCTTGGTAATCGAATACACTTTTCAGATAGCCAACTTATTTTTTATTAAGCATTATACGGTGGCCAGCTTGGACTGGATGGCCCTAACATATCTAAACCGTCCATGGGTAGCAAGATCACACGCTGCTGCCCCTGTGCACACGCTATGGTTTGTGCAATATTATGTTGATATGTCATATTTTTTACTAGCACAACATAGCAGCTCCTACTTTTTATTGAACCCCGACACAAAGTGTGAAAACCGTAATTGGAAGTGTGTATCTACCAAATACTAATTTTTTAAATATACATATATACCACATTAAAATTAATAATTTGTTAATAATTTTCAGATTTATACCAGCCATAAGAATATTTTCAGTTAAAAAATAATAATAGATTGTTAATTATAATGTGCAATTTGATTAATAAAAAAAAACTATTACTAAAAATTATTATTGGCACTATACTAAAATTATAATCATATAGAAGTTGGGTAGAGGATGGCTCTGTATCATATAATTGTACATTAAAAAATGTGTAGTATGCATTTTTATGAAGAATAGTGTGTATACATTATAGATTATTATATTAATATTGCCGCGTCCACTTGATGAAATCGCTCATTTCATGTATTGAACATCCATTTCATGAAATTTATCGGTTTAGTTACATTTACGTTATTTTACACTATATGCACGATTATTCGACTTTTTTATGAAGAAGAGTAATTTTATTCACATTGAGAAATATTTAATTTATAAAATTAACCAGCTACAACTCGTTTGCGCACCACATTTACCTTTTTTACAACTTATTTTGGCACAAAAATATTTTTCGACTTTTTCTATAAATTGAATTATTAACTTAAACATTTATTGTAAATATATTAGACTAAACAATGAGAGTAGATCCCCACATTTGTCAAAAATCAGTATTCAGAAATTTGTACTGTTTTTATATTACTTAATATTTTTGTCGACCCCCATGAGTTTATATACCAAAAACTTTTGATCCACAATTTTAAACACTGCACATTTAGTAAATACATAAATAATACTCTCGACGATTATTCGTACATATGTAGATAAAAAAAATTATTTTCATTATACATCATATTACAATATATTTTTATGATTGAAATGGCAGCAGGACGCCAACAATTCTATATTATTATTATATCTTTGACGACGTTGAGCGAATTTCTAGAAACCAACTAGCTTATCTATGTTTTCCTTTGATTATTTTATAATAACTAGTGCTCGGAAATTGATGCATTATTAGTTTTTAATTACTTTTTAAGTCAATTTTTTACATTTTTAGTTATTTTTACTGATTTCACACTAGTTCACTTCTTATCGTTTCTTGTCGACCATTATGCCGATAATTTAAAACTTTTTATTTCGCCAATTACACAAGGGCGTATTTGAGGTTTGGCCATGGTGGGGGAAACTAATTTTTCTTCAATACAAACTTAAAATTAATTTACAGTTCATTACAGAGACGTACCCAAGGGGCGGGGGTTCGGGTCCAGACCCCCCATTGAAATTTTTACATACTCAATGGTTTAATAGTAAATAGTACATAGTTTATTTTAATTTCCCATTATCTTCAAAATACAAAGTTTATAGATTATATAATATACCTATAATGTATAAACCATGTTTAATTTATATTACTTTTTTAATATTATTTATTATTGTTAATTAAATGTATTTTTTTATAACATTTTACTAACAATTAAAAATTGATTAATTTAACTGACTTTTTTAACAATTACTACTCATGTATGTAATACAAATTATATTTTGAAAACATTTGTACTAACAGAAAAACTTAATAAAAATCATATAGCACAATACTTATATCAAATATTGATTAAAATATTTGAGGAACGGAAAATAATTAATAAAGTAGTAGCTATTGTAACTGATTCTGGTGCTAACATACAGGCTGCAATAATAAAAATGAATGGCATACCTCATATACCATGTACTGCACATAAGTTGAACTTAGTGGTGACAAACGCACTAAAAATTCAGTGTGGTGCAAATGAAAGTGTCGAGGATAACAATATTGGTTGGGATGGAGTTAACTATTTAATCATTTTAGTAAAAAAATGCCATTCAATAGTGAATTTTTTTAAAAAAAGTGAAATCGAACATCGCTGTTTACAAGACAAGTGAAAACAACTAGGTTTACCCGATTTGAAACTAAAGCAAGATGTATCCAACCGTTGGAACCAGGGCCGGATTTAGAACAAGTGCTGCCCTAGACCCTTTTAAATATGCCGCCCTTACCCCAAGAAAAAAGTCTTGTAATTATTTCTAATAAATGTATTTAATTTTAAAAAAATTAAGTCAATAGTCATTATTAGGGTGCGGATTTGTATGTATTAAAAATTCAAAAATATGTACATATATATGTATTTAATTTTATTCAAATATGTAATTAAAAATACAAGATATGTAAAAAAAAAATGTAAAATTAAAAATTAAAAAGTAAAAATTTCAAAGTAATTAGTAAGTATTCATTCATTGGAGTTTGAATCTATTTCTTCGTCAACAAAACAATTGACAATCATATATTTTTTTAGGTTGTCAAAAGTAAATCGACGTCGATTAGGACGCAATATGTTTTTATAGCGGCTAAAGGATCTTTCCACGTCAACGGAAGTTATAGGAGCAAATTTAAAAGCCCCTAATTCAGCAACACTAAATTGAAGAGAAGTTTGCGTATTGCTGCCGTTATGAATGTTTGCAATAGCTTCAATTGTCTTTAAACCTGGGTTTTTACTGAGTACTTGTTCAACTTTCTTCTTAATTTTTATTCCAACCTCCCCAGGGGCTTCTTTCAATTTCTTTACGGTGTTAGAGACAATACCCAGGCTATCAGCAAGAGACAAGTTTTGAGCTTCAAGTTTCGTAATAGAATTGGCAAGGAATGTAGTATTGGAGGATATGTACACTAAATTATTTTTCAATGAGGTACTTTTAATTAAATTTTTAGCATTTTCTACTGAAACAGCATCTGTTTCAAGTTTGGAAATCACATCTTCAATGACACTAAAATTGTCGCAATAATATGCAGCAGCTTGTAACCAAGTACCCCAGCGAGTTATCACTGGCTCTGGGGGAAGAGGTATTTGGGGGTAATTTTCTTTAAATACATTTACGCGACTAGGTGCTTTAAGGAAAATTTTTTTTTTATAGTTGATATCAAAAAATCAACTTCGGAAAATTCTGATCTAATTGTTTCTGCGACACGATGGAAAGCGTGTGCAAGACAGGTCACATGAACTAATTTAGGATAAAATACATGTAAAGCAGTTCCAGCTTTCACCATATAAGGTGCTGCGTCTGATATAAATAAAAGTACTCTTTCATGCAAAATACCATTTGGCCATAGAATACCCAAAGAATCGTTGACAAAACGAGCAACTGTTGAGTGGTTACATTTTTCAAGAACTTCAGTATTTAATAAATATGGCTTTGAAGCATAATCTGAATTCAATTTACCAACTATTATATTCCCTACGTACCTTCCTTCTACATCGGTTGTCTCGTCCATGGAAACCCAGATTGGTCCGCTTGAAATATTTTTTCTGATATTAATCAACGTGTTCTTGTACAAGTCAGGTAAATAATTTTTCCTTAGAGTGCTTGAATCAGGAATTTTGTCGCTTATGTATTTTTCAAGAAATTGACGAAAATTAATATTATCGATTTTTCGCAATGGTATATCTGCTTTAATTAAAGCTGTGCATAAGTCACTATTAAAAGTTGATTTATTGGACGATGACGAGGTGATGAATTGTTGTACTGTTGTTGTATTTCGCTGTTTATTTGCTATATGAATTGCAGTTCCTATGTGTTGTGTAACTTGAAAGCGCTGAGTAGTTGATACGGCTTTATCACATGCATCACAGTATAAAATATTCGAATCGCTACGAAATGTTTCGTTCGGAAAATCTCGCACGTACCTCATTACGAGGTCTCTTTTTTTAGGAGCAACTTTCGGCATTTTCGATTAAACACAGTGATATAAGAATATAACTATATTAATATAATAAAATAATATTATACAATCAAAAACTAAAAAGACTCAACAAATACGAAAAACACAAGGACACACGGACACCTCTCCAATGACTAAACAACAAATAACGAAATTAAATTTACTTTTATCGAAACGTGTATAGCGATAACTGGGTCGATAATGTGTGGACTATGGACTAATAGTCGCAACTTGCGATTATAATTTGCACACGCACGGACTGGAGAAGATAACAACTCATAATATAAAACGGCGATACATTACTAATTCTATAAATAGCTCAATATTTAACAAAAATATGTAATATCAGTAAAATATGTAAAAATATGTAATTTAGATTAAATATGTAAGAATATGTAATATCAACCATAGCTTAAAATAATCAGATAGTCCTGTAACATATTTCTGTAAAGGAATCATTCAAATATTATTATTCACGACAAATATGTAAATACATACAAATCCGCACCCTAGTCATTATAAACAAAACAAATAATTATCAATTCTAATTAGGCATTAGCAGTATAAATTTTTAATATAAATCTTAAAATAATTTTAATAATCTTATTAATCTATAAATATATCTATTATACCTATGTTATCTATAACATTTTACGACGAAATTTTTTAGATCCGAAATCGTCGATTATATCATCATAATTTATACTTCGAAGCATATCAGATTTTA